GAAGGGAGGGAGGAAGGGAGGGAGGAAGGGAGGAAGGGAGGGAGGAAGGGAGGGAGGAAGGGAGGAAGGAAGGGAGGGAGGAAGGGAGGGAGGAAGGGAGGGAGGAAGGAGAAAAAAAGCTGATTCTGTTATTGCTGTTGAAACTGGCAGGTGGCGCAGCACAGCTGCAGAGATCAGATTCCTGGAGAGCTGGAGATCAGATTCCCACAGGGTTCCCATGACACGGAGGAAACCATTTAAATAAAATGAAACCTAAATCAAATATACAGACTAGTTTTAGAGAAATAAAAATGCTCCACGTAATAGTCTACTTATCAGTCTTGTCAATTAGAATGGAATAATTAAACACAATTGAATGTAAACCAATGTAATGTTTAAAAGATGTCACTTCATATTCTCTCTCCAGTTAAGAGAGAAAGAGGAAGACGGGGCAAAAAGGGATCTTGCTAAAGCTCCAAGAAAATAAGATCTTAATCTTATATTATTACTGCTCATTTGTATGGTAACGATATCAGAGTTTTTTAGATTTAAATTAACAAATTTTTTATTTAAAAAAATTTTTTAAAAGATTTTATTTATTTATTTGAGAGAGAGAGAATGAGAAAGAGAGAGCACAAGAGGGAAGAGGGTCAGAGGGAGAAGCAGACCCCTGCCGAGGAGGGAGCCCGATGCGGGACTCGATCCCGGGACTCCAGGATCGTGACCTGAGCCGAAGGCAGTCGCTTAACCAACTGAGCCACCCAGGCGCCCTATTTAAAATTTTTTTAAAAATGATTTTATTTGCTTATTTGAGGGGAGAGGGGATGTGGGAGAGGGAGAGAGAATCCTCAAGCAGACTGCACGCTGAGCGCAGAGACCCATGCGGGGCTTGATCCCAGGACCCTGAGATCATGACCTGAGCTAAAATCAAGAGTTGGACGCTTAACCGACTGAGCCACCCAGGTGCCCCAACTAATGTTTTAAAAAGAAACAATGGAATTAGGGTTGATAGCATTTAATTTATGGAATTTCTAATCCCAAGTAATATTTTAAAGTACTTTAAATATGTAAAATATTCTAATCCCAAGTAGATTCTAAAGCATTTTAAAAGTTAACTGAATTCCACAAGCCCAACACTGGCAAAATTCCTTTCTTTTTCTCATCTTATGGAGGAGTTCTAACCTTAATCTGTTAATTGGGAAGTGTTCTATCTTATGTTGCCATGAGAAAGGTTTACTTACACAAAGGAATTATCTCCACCTTGTGGTCTCTTAAGAGTTTTGCCTCTGGGCATTTAGAAGAGATGTTTGCGTGAGAGGCTTGTATTTCCAGACGCTAAGCGGGGTTACATGAGACCAGGGTCTCCTAGTTAGCTGATAACAGAGCTAAGACTGCAGCCTGTTTCTTCCCACTCTCCAAGTTGTGCTTTGGGCTCCCATAAGTGGAGTGAAATCTTAGCTATAATGCTGATAAAATTAAGTGGAGGATTAGGGGAAACCTACAGGCCAGAGGTGCCAGTGTCTGATATTGAGACATGTCTCTCAGGGAAACAAACAAAGTAGAATCTATGGGAGTTCAAGTCAGGTTCAAAGGTTTGAAACCCATCACTTCATCACGGCCAATTTAGAAGATAGGGTTTAAGGATTGTTTAAGAGGACAGAGACAGGACCCTTACAAATTACTCTCAGTATATGTCCATTTGGAGAACCTCTGCTCCTTTGTCATAGTTACCATTTCTTATCATCAAATCTTAAAGTCACTATGGAGGCAGGAGATCCCTGTGGATTGGCACACAGAAACCAGTGTAACAAAGTATAGAAAGCAGAACATAAGATTTAAGCAGGAAGTTATATTTTCACTTGACCTATAGGAGGAGATGGAAGGAAGGAAACTGGGAAAAGCCCAGTGTCTACTACTGAACCATCGGCATAGTAAGGGGAGCTCCGTATTTTTTTTTAAATAAATTTTTCGATGCATGTATGCACCATGGGCATAAGAGTTTCATTCATTCTTTCATCCAATAAATATTGATCGTACATCTGTTGTGGGCCAGGGATTGTGTTATGGATGCAAAGATGAACAAGAGCCACCGTCCCTCTCCCTGCACTGGAGTTGCTAGCAGGATACTTCTTTACATGTGATAAACACATATGCATGGTGCAACTTGACCTTGCTACAATAAAGGGAACATATCAACTTTTAAAATTTCACCCCTCTCTGTGAGTTACTGGTTTGCCCCAAATACAGGGAACATGAATAAAATCATCTTTAGCTTTTTTTAGTTGACTAAATTTGTCTTTAGCTTTGCAAAGATCAAAGGAAAAAAACTTCTATACATAATGGCTTTATATTTTGTGTTCTTTTATTCTTCTACTATTCTTTTTTTAAAACTCTCCTACTTTTTTTTTTTTTTAGCTATAGAATATAAGTCAATCAGAAGTCAACTACTCAGGGACAGATTTTCTAGTTTTTGCATCATTCAGGCTTGATGGTGCATCTTTTTGGGTGTGGATCAGGGGACAGTTTCCCTTGAAGTCCAACTCTAGTGAAAGGGGACAAAAGACAATTATTCAAATCAATTAAATTTTGCCTCTTGTTAGTTTATCTTGGAATGATATCTACTGGAAAAAATCACTTCATATTATTTTTACATGTCTCAGGTATTATTGCTTAGGGCTAGGGATACCTTCAAGAATCAGAAGGTCAGGGAAATTTCTGTCATGTCAGGCTGTGAGTGGGCTGTTTCGTAGGGCAGTGGTTCTGGGAAATGTCGGAGTTTAATGTGCCTGGATGGTACAGCGCAGCTGACACTTTCCAAACCTATAATCATGGAATCCTAGGCATTCTGCTTCTAAAGGAGTCTTGGAGGTTACATACTGCTGGGAATCTCGAAGACTGAGCTTTATTATTAGAATTATCTGAGGAGTATTTTTAAAACACAGATTCACACTCAGACTTACTAAATTTGAATTTCTGGTGATAGGGACCCAGGAATCTGTATTTTTAATCATCGATCCACCCTAAGTCCGGCAAGCATCCTGATCTGGACACCAACCACTGTCTAGAAGTGTAAAGCATCTAAATTTTGCTTTCTTGCAAGCTTCCAAGTTAGCCTGACACAATTTCATGGATGCTGGCAGAATATACAAAGGCTCTGAGCCAGAGACAAAAAACTTTATTACTCACGGCAAGAGTAGTAACCAGCGTCTATCACTTGCACTGGTTCCCCAGGCAAACCCCCACATTTAAAGAGGGCCAGATGATACCAGCAAATGAAAGGAATGTGTTACAGGAGAGGAATCCTGAGCTGGAGGAGCATGATTCTTTTATAATGGACAGTAAACACACCTGCTCTTTTCTTGGGATGGAGATACCATCTCTGTCCTCTGAGGCTATCTGATATGCAAACATCCTTAAAAAAATAGTCTGAATAGAGGTGGCCAATGCCTCTGCCTAAGATGGGCAGAAACACAAGACACCCACAGAGAGTTGTCTTCCCAAAGCAACTTAGTCCAATGCTCTCATTTTGAGGATGAGGTCACTTGAGCCCCGGAGAGCTAAGTTGCTTGGTGATATATTCCGTGGGTGGCTCCACTGGGCTCATCCAGTAACCCTGTTCTTTCTATGCTTGTCCTGTTCATGCTTTCCTAGTCACCCCTCTTCCTCCCTGGAATTGATTTCCTAGAGTTAGTAGGTTGTCAGAGATGAAATTATTGAACAGAAGGATTTGCCACATGAATGTAGAGTGACAAGTGCAAATGTTAAGGGCAGACCAAGAGAGAATTTGAAATGGAGGCAATAAGAAATCCATCACCAGCCAAGCTGCCTTCCTCCACCCGAGTTGGCTTGCAATGATAATGCCGTAACAAGACACAAGGTTTTACGTAAACTAAATTGGTAATGTGGTCTTTGACTTTGGAAGTGAAAGGAGAGTATTTGAATTTCCTTGGAGCTTCTGTTCCTGACATCCAACTACCTGAAGGGTAAATTACCATGTATTAATGAAAGAGAGCGCTAATTAATAGTTTTGTAGTCAATTTGTTATATTTTTTGTATATTTTAATAGAAAGAGTAAAAAATAATGCAAATCTATACAAGCCACCTAAGATCCTTTCTTAAATAAAGTCAGTAACACATTTAACAAATGATTGAACAATTAGTCCTACAGATCAAGCACTGAGTAATATCTATAGCGAGGAAAAATGATAGGAAAAATGATGGAATTCTGAGTATAATATTTGCTTTCAAGAGGATAAAAATTTGTTAGCTCTGACACTTCAATGACAACTAAAGAGATCAGAATAGGGAAATATTAAAATAGTTTTCATGCCTTGCAAAGGATACATAGAATTTAGAAATCCCAAATGGATTACCATTTATTTCTGGGCACTAATTAAGGAAAATCTTATAGAAAGCATGTAAATGATAACTGTTGACACCGTTTAATACATTTTGATAATTACTTTGCCTTGTGTCAGATACACTGCCCTGCCTTAGCACATTAGTCAGTTACTAGATTGGAGAACTTTGCCATTTATGAAGGATGTACCTTGAAATTGTTACGAGTCCTCAAATATGTAAACACCACCATAGCACAAAAAACTTTTTTAAATTAGAGGGACTTTTTTTCAAAGGTCCAACATACTTATTACTCCCCTAGATTCAACACATATCTAACTGTGAAATGAAAACCACAAGCTCGCCTTCAGATGAGTGTCCAATCTAGTGCGTCCCTTCCAAGTCACGGCATTGTCTCCAGCAATTCAAAACCATTTCAAACAAAACAACGAATCACCGCATCTCATAGAACTTTGAGGTCACTCGTAACCAATCAAACCATGACTTTTGAATCTCTGTGAATGCCAGAGGGTCTGCTGTATAAGAAAAGAACATATGCAAAAACGTCTGCGTGTACCTCGGGATGACTAATGTAACCCTTTTTCCCCTCAAGGACAAGGACATTCCTGTGGAAGAAGAAATTGAACCGGCCCCAGTTAGGAGGATTCTGAAATTCAATGCTCCAGAGTGGCCCTACATGCTGGTAGGGGCGGTGGGTGCCGCTGTCAATGGGTCGGTCACACCACTCTATGCCTTTTTATTCAGCCAGATTCTTGGGGTAAGCAAACGCTGGATTAGCTTTATTCTTCTGATAGTTTTTGTTTTTCTATCGGGGGATATTGTCATTTTTTGATAGGTTGGCTCTGTATTTTGATGGATTTAGCTTTCTTTTCCTCATCTCTAAAGGATTCCAAGTGCCCCGAGTCTCCATGACATAGCAGGTAGGAAGAGGGAGCTGAGCACTCTCATTTGGGCTGGCAGGACGCTCCTAGTCATCGTGTCTGTAAAAAACTGCACGATGGCTGCAAAGGTAGTGTCAGGAGAGGGCAGTTTCCCTATATGCAAACAAAATCGGAATGGAAAGTAGGTTCGTTGAATAATACAGAAGGATTTTAGGGCCTTTTTGATCTTGCTGAAACAGCTGAGGTGCAAAGTTGGCCTATAAAAGCAGGTGTGAGTGCATGTTGTAGGATTGTCTGCTCTGCTGATTGCACCATTGAAATGGCAAGGTGGGGGCGGAAACAGGAAAAGGGAGAAGTAAAACAAGGCATGGATAAATAAGCTTATTTCACTTTTTCACTCCCTAGGAATTTTGATAGTCTCCATCTGACTTCATTGCTACAATAAAAATAATAATAACTACAAGCATTAATTGACACTCTCTAAGCACTTTATATATAATAGTTCACTAAATTTTCCTAGTAACCACCCGAGGTAGGTATTCTTATTGTCCCCGTTTTTACAAAAAAAAAAAACAGCGAACCAAGGTATACAGAACTTAAGATAGCAAATAATGGATCTGAGATTCAAATCCAGTGTGACTGGAGAGCCAGGTTCTAATAAAACTCTCATTGCAAAATTAGTTATCGAAATGCTGCCAAGTTTTTTAGTTGAAATTTACCCACATACACAGATCCCATGAGATCAACAAGGGCAAACCGAGAATCTAGATAACCTAATTAATTTGTTCACGGTGATACAGGCATTAGGTGGTAGGGCCAGGACTAGAATCCAGCTTTTCCGAAGCCTAGGCTAAAGGATTTGCCAGCACACCACACTGTCAGAGCTTACCAAGAGTCCTGAGTGTTAGTTTCCCCTCTAATTCTCTTTCTTTTGTGGCCTCTCTCAAGAGGTCCTGATCAGAAAAATGTCCCCATGGGCATGAATCATACAGAAAGGCCTGGACAGTCCACAAACAAAATCAAGTCAATTGGGTCGGGAAGGCCTCAGTCACCGCTTTAGCTTCCATACTGCCCCCTTGTGGTAAGTGAGGAAATCACGGTAGTTTCACAGAGGTAGGAGATCGGAAACGCGGCCCTTCAACTCTGGTAAATTGAATTTCTAGTTGTGTGAAGCCGTTTGTGATGACAATCTTTTAAATAATTAATTTATATTCCTTACTTTCTGGTAAGTACAATGTCCTAAATACAATAGAAATGTTCTTTTATTCACTCAACAGGTATTTGTTGATTATCTCCCATAGACACTGTGTTCAAGGGACTTGGGATTGCATTCAGTCATGCTGCCTTCTCTAATAGAGTTTCTAGTCTATGAGGAAGACAGACATTAAACATAAAAATCTACTCATAATTCAGCAAATATTTATGAATCACTTATTGTTTGTCAGACATTGTTGCTGGGATTGAAGATAGAGGGAGGAACAAGAAAACCAAAGCCCCTCCCTGCTCTCATTACGCTGACATTCTAGTAGGGAAAGGCTCTGGAAATGCATCTCAGGGCACAGTGATGAGATGTAGAAGGTGTGGTGGATAGGGTTGAATTCTGTAAAGACCCAACTATGCTGTAGATGTTTGCTTTTAAAATAAGTCTGGGATACCATCTTCTTTGCTGATCATCACTTTCTTAGAAAAACAGAGCAAAGAATATACTCACTCAGCCTTATCCAAACCCTGTACACGAGCTTCTGTGGAAAGAGTGCTGGACTCCCAACCAGGAGATCTTTTTTTCTGAAACTAGCTCTTCTAGATACTCATCAAGCACTATATGCCCTGGGATCCCACCATGCCATTTCTCTGGGCCTTGGGTTCCTCAGCTATAAAACGAAGGACTGACAAAAATGGTTTCTAAGATAACTTCCAGCTCTATTAGTCTATGAAATGGCCAAGTCAGAAAAAAATTTGATGATTCAGTTATAACCCCTGCTCTCCTAGATCACCCACCAGTTGTTGGTAGTGAGAATAGTTTCTGTGATTCTTCGGGTCATAACCAGAAATCCTAGGAAAAACTTAGCTTAAGCAATTAGCTTAAGGGCTGCAGTACCAGAGTAACAGGATCTAGTTGGTGAAATCCAAAGTCTGCTCACGGTTAATGTTCTCACAGGGTTATATTTGCTAAGCAAATGATGCTAAGCGAAGTACTATTTTTCCTCTCTGATAAAGAAGATCATTTCTGTTTGTCTCTTAGCATAATTACCACATATTCATCAGTAGATTCATGATACTTCATCTCAGAGGGTATAATCATGAGTCAGATAATAGTCTGTTTGTAATTATGCTATTTTCATCCTGACATACCTAAAGGGCACAATACTCACATTTGGTGTATTGAGACCACAGTTTGGAACGTAGACCCAGCAAATGATTGCACGCTATTAGGAGCCTGGTTGTTAATCTAGTGAAGCATCAATTCATACATAAGACATAACTTATCTGATTCGCTTTCCATCGGTCTAGTTGACTTGGAAAGTGTACAAGTGTTCCAAGCACAGCAATGTGTATGTAGCATGCTGGGAGAAAACATGAACTTTGGAGACAGCCAGCCCTGGATCTCTGCTCTGTATTCTCTGTGTGCATTCGAACAAGTGGCTTTTCCTTGATGAGTCTTAGTTTCCTCATCTGTAATAAGGGGCAAGAAAATCTACGTCACTGGGTTGTTTTAAGAAGCCTAACTTAAGGAAATCTTCATTTAAGTTAAAATAGGCTAAGTAACACGTTTGGCATCTGGTAAATAGCAAGAGTTTAGTGAATGTTTCTTTTCTTCTTAAACAAACTTATCATTACAAAAATGGCACAGATGTATCATAGAGGAACCTATGGATGGGTAGCTTTTTGTGCTGCATTTCAGCAAGGTTATACCAAGGACTCATGGAGTAGAATTTTGTGAAAAAAGGTTATGGAGAGACAGATGCCCAATCTTGAACTGGAGAGTCATGTGGATTTAATATTAGCCTAATACTTGTTTAACACTGAGAAGATGAGTAATGCCAAGAGCCAAAAGAGCCTGCCAAGAAGAAAACCACTGGAATCAGAAAAATAGACATTTCCTTATCTAATAATAACCACTAGCTAAATGAACTTAGAAGGTTTGATATTTGGGACTCTAGTTTTCCATCTATAAAATAAGAGTTAAGCTGACTCATCTGCACTTCTCTGGTCCTATAGTCCATGATTATAATAGGTGACATGAGGGAGCGATGAGAATTGTGGCGTCACAGTTTGGGGGATTTGAATAGTGATTTTTTAAAACAAAATGAAACAGGTCTTTAAATCCCTGAATTTGTAAACTCTGTTGAGTAAACATATGAATTATTCTATGCTGGGAAGAATGACCGTGGAAACTTCTGAACCTACTTCCATCTGTATTAAGAACATACTATGAAGACCCTAGAAACTGTCCTTGAAACAGTTAATCTTATTAATCTAGAACCCCTCCCTCCACTTTGGAATTTGTGATGATTTGAATATGTTACTTTGCTTTACAAAAAAGGATTTGTTAATGGAGTAGTATACATTGTTTTCAAGAGATTTATTTGGTATGTGGCAGGCACTCAATACATATTTATTGAATAAATGGTTTCTTTTGAGCAACTGCTTGTATTGTTCTAGTTACTTAAATTAATTTAGAGCAATAAATAAGGCTGTCTAATGCATACTTTTTCTGAACTCAGGGTTCCTTTACTTAGCCCAAGTTAGGAATTTTGTTGTACCTGGAATCCATTTCATTATAGGGCAGTGTCATTAGAATATGCAGCTGTTCTCCCCTTGTTTTATTGCAACAGCTGAGTCCCCAGTCAATTGCTTGAGCATACGCCTGCAAGTTCAGAATACACTTTATGAAGTATAGTTTACTCCTTCTTATGGACTCAAAAAACCCCATTCACAACTTCCATAGTTGTTTGGGGGGGGTGGGGGATGTTTTCAACTTCTCCTGATTTAGAAACAACAACCTCAGCCTCAGATGGATGGAAAGTGTTTTTTCTCCTAAGCCAATTCCAGTTAATGACTTGACAGCTGGTTGCTTTTTTAATGATGCTATTATTCATATATATATATATATATATATATATATGAAACTAATAACGTAGGGCACCTGAGTGGGAAAAGTCATCTTTATTGTTTCTATTATTTGAGAAGGACAGAAATCATAATACTCTGGGCTTTGTTCCAGATAACATTCTTCTTTTCCTTCCTATCTTCCTTCCTTCCAACTTCCCTTCCTTATTTCTTTGCCTTATTACATAAAGGACTTGAGATATTTAATCATGTTTTTCATCCGTATCAATGAAAAGCCAACACAGTTACCTACATCAGGCTAAGAAACAAGACCAAAATTCTGCGAATTGTTGCTATTGGCTTTCATTTGCCAAGTTTCCTTTCCCATGGGGAATTAAGGTACACAGATTCACAGCTAACTTTGGTTTAATTACTAGTATGTTCTCTTAACCTAATGCTTAAGAGAAATTTCTTTTAAACATATTTTATTTCTTTTGCTATTGTTTGTAATAATAAAGTAGTATCTTTGCTTACTATCTTTCAAAGACTTTTTCACTTCCTGATAAAGAAGAACAAAGGTCACAGATCAATGGTGTGTGCCTGCTCTTTGTAGTAGTGGGCTGTGTATCCTTTTGCACTCAGTTTCTGCAGGTAAGGAATTTTATTTTTTAGTAAGTGATTTAGCTATTTCCTCCCATTTCATGTTAAAATATCACTAAAGACTCCTTTATGTTTCAGGAATATGCTTTTGCTAAATCTGGAGAACTTCTTACAAAAAGACTACGTAAATTTGGTTTCAGAGCAATGTTAGGGCAAGACATTGGCTGGTTTGATGACCTCAGAAATAGTCCTGGGGCACTAACAACAAGGCTTGCTACAGATGCCTCCCAAGTTCAAGGGGTAAGCTTTGGGGGAAAACCAGGGGTGTTATCAACTGGAGTAAACATTCTTTCCTTTGAGCATTCTGATAATCACCTATATGTTTCCCATGAAATAGGAACTCATGGGACTGAGATGTCTCAGAGCCACATTTCCCACCATTTCCAATGCTGACAAACAGCAGTCTCTCCCAGGCAATGTCCAGACTCAGTGCCACGAGTCCAAATCTGTCAGGGTTTTAGATTTCCTGGGAGTCTAGCAACTGAGAGCTTTCCTGAGACTTCTTTCTCAGATCATTTTCAGGCCCAGAAGCTCAGATTCTATAAGACTTAATGGCGCCCCCCAGAGGTGGAAGCAAAACTTCCTTACACAGGTGCCCAGCGTGCAGGTAGTCCTAGGAAAAGAGATCTGAGTTGCCTCTGTAAACGCTAGTCAGAAAACTGAAGAAAAGAAATAAATGATTGCCATCTAGAATCCTGAGGCACTCGTAGAGACAGAGCTGTGGTTTCTGAAACCCAGAACCGGCAGCCTTGTTCAGGTGACTCAGCCATTGTAAGGTGAGGCAATGCTTTTAGAAAACCAGGGGTTTGTATGAAAGTGACGAGAGTCAAATGTGCAGTCCAGCACCTCTACTCACTTTCTGTGGGAATAAAAAGAAAGAAAGAGAGAGAGGGAGGAAGGAAGGAAGGAAGGAAGGAAGAGGAAAAAGGAAAACCACAGTTTGTGAGGTTCTTGGAAGAACCCCCTCCCCACCCCCCCACCCCTGCCCGGATTGAAAAACTGAGTAATGTATGTCTTGACTCCTAGCCAGTTCAACCAGAAATACAGACAATGGTGTGAGAGACTTTCAGAGGAGCATGGGATCCTCTTCCTCAGAGCTTTTTTCTAGGTATAAATGTGTTTCTCACAGACTTTGGGTCACACTGTACATATTGTTTTGTAATCTTTCTGTTTTTCCCCTACAACAATCTGATGTGGGCATATTTTCGTTATTACATATTCTTCTAAAGTAGATTTTTGATGGCTGTATAATTCATCATCTTAATGTGTCATCATTTAAGAATTCCTTATTAAAATGTCTGTTTTTCTGCCTTATAAGCAACTTATGTTATTTTACATCAAGCTTGGCTTATCCTTGATTATTATTTTTTTGTTCTCAAAATATAATCATTGGATCAGAATGTACAATCATTTTGAAGGGTTTTAATGTGCATTGTCTTACTGTCTGAAGGAAGTTTGTAGCAATTTCACTTTTACCATCTGAGTATTCTAGTGTCCAGTTTACCTGACTCTTGAGCTTAGGTCAAATAAATAAGCCATCACCTTCTCTCTTCTATTTTTCCATCCTTCAATCTGCAAGGACCTTTTTAAGGTTATTCACTCTCACTTGAATTCAGAGAGTAGCATCTAACTGTCTTACAAAAATTTTACTTATTTTTTTAAAAAATGAAAAGTTTCTAAGAGTTTCTCTAATATTTTTGTTAAACTTTTTTTTTTTAAACGAGATTGCTAACCTGGGTCAAATTTATTTTAATATTGGTGTAAAGTAGAAATCTGGCTTTTTTTTTCTTCAAACTGAATAGAAAATATTCCCCCACCAAAATTTAATGTAGATTTCATTTTCCAGCTGTTTGAAATCCTCCTGCCCTTTGTGACTATCAACTTCCCATGGATACTTGGAGCTATGGGGTTTCTCTATTCTCTTTCACTGATCAGTTTGATTTATTCTGTGCCAGGACATTACTGTTTTAGTTATATAACTTTATGATAAGTGTTTATTATCTGGTAAGGTAGATTCTTGCACTGTAATTTTTCCTCTTCAAAATTCTTTTATTTATTCCTGGACATTACTTATTCTAATGTACTTTAAAATCATCTTGGCTTCTTCAAAAATTTTATTTTAATTCCCATTGAATACATCCATGCAGCACCCCCCGCCCTCCCCACACAAAGATTGCTGTTGTGGGGATGCTAACAGTTCCCAAGAGAGACATAAATAAGAATCTTTAGTTTTTAGTAAGATTTATAACTACATGATATGCTATATGCTATGTATAGTATGTATACACAGATACATTAATATATCACTCTATCTTGTTCATTTTTTCTTATGTATTTTTTTCACAATTTTGAATGAATGTCATAGATTGAGATTTTAGCTATTACTTTTTGTATATTTATCTTATTGCCATCCACTTTTTTAAGTTTTCTTATTAACTAATTTTTAAAAAATTTAATATAGTCTTTTGAATTTCTAGGTATATAATCAAATTATATGCAAAGAAAGATAATTATATCTCCTTTTTTCTTTTTCAATTCTTATACCAACTATTTTATTTTCTCATTTTATTTCAATACTAGAAGTTTCAAACACTTGAGTAGAGTGCTAAGAGGAAGTAGAGGAGATTCTCATAAGCAAGACAAAAATACGTAAAGTAGACTTGTCAGACTACGTAAAAACTTAAAACTTTGTATAAACAAATGATGGATTATGAAAATATTTGTAACAAGGATTAATGTACCTAATAAGTCTAACATGCATAGTGTTCCTAAAATTGGTTAAAGAATAAAAATAAACCAAATAATAAAGATTAAAAAAAGGTATATGGACAAGCAACAAAAAAAGAAATGCAATGGAACAATTAACAAATGAAGAATTGTATAACCTTATTAATAGAAAAATACTCATAAAACATTGAAACACCATTTTCCACCTACCAACTCAATAAAAACTCTCATGAATGACAACTTCCTATATTTGTGAGGATGAAGAGAAACTGACAGTCTTGTAAGATATTGGTTACAGTTTGAATTCTTCCAACATTTTTTAGAGAATAATCAGGTATGCAAAGCCTCTGACTAAAATTCATATGAGTAAATTCTCTCCTATTTTGTGACAATGTGCACTCAGATGTATGTTTATATTGATCAAAAAAATTAATAAAATTCCCTGGAAACTACCTGAATATCCACCAATAAGAAAATAGTTGAGTGAATATATCCATACTAAGGAAAAGTAGGCAGCTATTTTTAAAGGTATTAAAGTAATGATTTGGAGGGGTGGTAACGTTACACCAAGTGAAAAAAATCGAAGTACAAAGTAATATCTAGACTGATCCCTTTTTTATGAAAATGTTTATTGTTATGTATGTATATATATTTTACATGTCTTGAGCTGTATTACTTTTTAAATTTTTAAAAAATATTGATTGACTAAAATGTGAAAGAAAACAAAATAATGAAATTCCAAAGAACTATGCAGCTATTTTCCAAATTCTCTATAATGCCTGACCGTCCTTGCCAACTAGAAATTCTTTTGTTCTTTTTAACTATAGTAAAATATACAAAACATAAAATTTACCATTGTAACCATTTTTAAGTGTACAATTCAGTGGCATTAAGTGTATTCACATTGTTATGTAACCATCACCACTCTCCATATTTAGAACTTTTTATCATCCCAAATAGAAGCTCTGTACCCATTAAATATTAACTTCCCATCCCCCCAATCCCTGATAAACACCATTCCATGCTGACTTTATGAATTTGACTATTCCAGGAACCTCGTATAAGCAGAATCATATATTTGTCCTTTCATGATTGGTGTATTTCACTTGGCTTAGTGTCCTCAAGGTTCTTCCATATTGTAACATGTGTCAGAATTTCATTTCTATTTAAAGGCTTGGATAATATACCATTATTTGTATAGACCACATTTTGTTTGTCCATTCTTCTATCAGTGGACACTTGGGCTGCTTCCACCCCTTAGCTATTGTGGATAATGCTGCTATAAATATAGGTGTACAAATAAATTCTTAATTTAGCTTTTCCTTCCTGTCTTCAAGGAAGTTATAACCAATATATGGGAGTTCTTGGGACCAGAGAGTTCATATTCCATTTGAGTCTTCAATACAGTATGAAGATGCAAATTATTCTTGCATAGCACTTCCTCAGTACCTATGGTCACCTAAAAGCTTACCTGTGATTGTTTTGCCTTCTTTATTTTTTAAATAATGCTAAAGTCTCTGTAATACTGACAAAAATCTTGCAATTGTACCCAGGCAAGTCTTTCCTACACAGAAGACACCAACCTGTGGTCACATCTGCACAATTGCAACTGAAAGGAGATTTGGAACCATCAAATAATTTTGATTATAAATAGTAATTACCACCAGTGTCCATTCTCCACCTGTATTGCAACTGAATCCGTTTTCTCCATTTTGTGTTGACTGAACAGCTAGTTATTAAGTCTGCATGTGATTTTGCACCAATGAGCAGGTTAACTTCAAGGAGAATCAAAATCTTATAATAGTCTTGTACAAATTTCAAAACTATAATTAAAGAACAAGCATCAATCTTCACCAAATAATCAGAACTATTACCATAAGACCAAGGCCTGGGTATTTTCAAGCAGACCAAATGCCTAGTCACCTGACATACATGCCGCCCTTGCTTAGGGCTGAATTAGTCTCATACTGACTGCTCTAACTCTGACACCCATGAAATAAGATCAGTCAATAGATGAGCTTCCACAAAGCTGTGAATAAAATGGACTTTTATTAATCCAGTCTTCGAGTGCATTAGGGAGCTCATTATTTTAAAAAATCTTTTTAAACATAGAACTACCGAATGACCCAGTAATTCCACTCCTAGACATATATCCAAAAGAAGGAAAGCAGGGTCACAAACAGGTATTTGTACATCAATGCTCATAGCAGCATTATTCATATGGTCAAAAGGTGAAACAATACAAGCGTCCATCAACAGATGAATGGATAAATGCAATGTGGTACATACATATAAAGAAATATTATTTAGCTTTTCAAGGAATGGAATTCTGATATGTGCTACAACATGGATGGACCTTGAAAATGTTATGCTTAGTAAAATAAGGTAGACACAGAGGCTATTGTACAATTCCACTTAGATACTCAGAAGAGGCAAATTTATAGGGACAGAAAGTAGAATAGAGGTTGTCAGGGGCTAGGGAGAGGGAAGAAGAGGGGTTATTATTTAATGGGTACAGAGTTCTTGTAGATGATAAAAAGATTTTAGGCATAGATGATGGTGATGGTTACACAACACAATGTATTTAATGCCACGGAATTTTATACTTATGAACGGCTAAAATGAGAAACATCATGTTATGCATATTTTATCAGAATAATTTCTTTTTTTTGTATAAAATTGCCTTTTCACATAGTGATATTTGGTAAAAGAGACTGTGTGTCTCAGATCGGTTGATTGCTTTTGGTTTGCAGGCAACCGGCTCTCAAATCGGAATGATGGTCAATTCCTTCACGAACGTCACTGTGGCCATGATCATTGCCTTCTTCTTTAGCTGGAAGCTAAGCCTGGTCATAATGTGCTTCTTTCCCTTCTTGGCTTTATCGGGAGCCATACAGACCAGAATGTTGACAGGATTTGCCTCTCAAGACAAGGAGGCTCTGGAGATCGCTGGCCAGGTAACCTTGCAGACCCAATTTTCAAACTGCTTACAACTCAGTGGCTGTCAGACAAACCGTTAAGGATGAGTAGTACAGAGAGACTTAAGGAAGGTGTTAGCCTACAAACGTTCATCCTTGGAAGCCTCCCACTAGCCTTTTTTAAGCTGTGGCAATAAAACTGATGCAGTGAGTGTGAGCAGATGTAGAGAAATAGCGGGGCAAACAGAGTGGGTTACATATTCAATTTCCTCTCCAATGGTTATTTTCTCCACCTCCCGTTTCGGTGTATTCTTTTTTGCAAGAGTGGAGACTTCAGTTTTCTGTCTGCTTGGTTTCTTAGCTAAATGGTTTCCGCAGGTCATGTTGCCCACAGAGAGAGGCACTATCATCTTTTGAATGGCACACACTTTTAATTTTCACACTTTAGTGCCTGCTAGACTTATAACAAATGTCTTTCCCAAATGGAACTATGACATTCAGTTTAGGTCTCAATTACTCTTAGTTTTCGGTGATGCACTTTTAAAAGTGTGTTCTAATGAATATCTGGTTATCAGGTAAATGAGGAGATGGCAGCATAAACATTTATCAGATATAAGAGTCATGCATACACATATACACACCTTTACTCTTTGAACAAATTTACTGTTATCTAGGTTTTGTCTCTTAAGGGAGGAAATGTGAACATTGCCCAAGTAGACAGAAGCCAAGAAGATTTCATATACCGATGGGAGAGAGTGGACCACCTCTGTGCTATTTTAGGATAGAAAATGCAAATTCAGAAACAGTGATGATTTACCCTAGCGTATAGACTGAAACAAATACAAATTCATAGTATAGACTAAAGATCAACTTTAAACTTATGTAATATTTGGCCAGATTAATGTTTTTTAAGATTTTATTTATTTATTTGACAGAGAGAGACACAGCGAGAGAGGGAACACAAGCAGGGGGAGTGGGAGAGGGAGAAGCAGGCTTCCCGCGGAGTAGGGAGCCTGACGCGCGGTTCGATCCCAGGACCCTGGGACCATGACCTGAGCCGAAGGCAGACGCTTAACGAATGAGCGACCCAGGTGCCCCGGTCAGATTAATTTTTTAAGAAAATAGAATCGTATTTTGAACTTACATTGTTCAGTATCTTTTGTGCCGGAAGACATCTAAAGATATCATTCTAAACATTTCAAATAAATTCACAAAAGAGCTAAAAGCTTTCAAGGATCAGCATGGGTACATTTTCCCCTTTCTCTCTTCTACAAGTGGAGGCAACAAAGCCATGTTAGTATTAAGTAGAACTTGAGGTTAACCAACTCATGATCCAGGTAAGCTGACCTCAGACAACTTCTTTGTGTTCCCAGATAATGCTTCTGCCACAGATTCATACCACCTTCTGCCATTCGCACCAGATTGAGTCCATGTAGCAGCTGAAATGTCATGAGAGTAGTTATTTCTGCTCTTTTGTTCCTAAGACTCTTTTTCACTTTTCAGATTACGAATGAAGCCCTCAGTAATATCCGCACTGTTGCTGGGATTGGAAAGGAGAGGCAGTTTATTGAAGCATTTGAGGTTGAGCTGGAGAAGCCATTCAAGACTGCCTTTCGAAAAGCGAATGTTTATGGATTATGCTTTGGTTTTTCCCAGTGCATGGTGTTTGTTGCTAATTCTGCTTCCTACAGATATGGAGGTTACTTAATCCCCAACGAAGGGCTCCATTTCACCTATGTGTTCAGGTGAGGACTATCAGGCCAAGGTCATAAAAGACCAGCACTCTAGGGAGGAATAGCCTGGCTCTGTAAGGTAGGCTTTGCTGCTTGACAAACCATACCAACCTTGGTGTCTTAAACAGTTGGGATTTATGATTTCTCAAGATTCTTTGGGTTGTCAGGGTGGTTCTTCTGGACTAGACTGATTCAGTCAGGCTTCTGCATGCCTTTCTTCATATCACGGTCTCAGTATTCCAAGCACAACAAAAGAGAGCAAGCCCCGTTGTGCAATGTGAAAGCACTTTTCGAGTCCCTGTGGGCGTCACATTTTCAAATATCTCTTTGGCCGAGGAAAGTCATACAACCACCCCAGATTTAAAGAAAAGAGAATGGAATCTACCTTTTAATGAGAGGACCTGAGTGTGTTTCTCCTTTACGGTCACACTGCTGTCACACACACACTTCTGAACCCTGATGGATCCCAACTTAATTCCGACACCATCTACCAGGAGATAGCGTCGGATCCCACAGGTTAAGGGCTCCGTCCTGCCAAGACTGCCCATATCACCTTCCTTAGACCCTTCAGACACCCTACGTTTCCTGAGGTCAGGGGCAGGGAGAGGACTGAAATTTCCACCTTTCTAATTGTGTGGTTACTTCCCTTGGCAACTAGCAGCCTTCCAAAGTCACCTCATTAACATTACCAAAGATACCTTGATCGCTCTCCAAATTTAGGAACTTCCGAGGATTTAAGAGCTCTATGCCAGGAATGGGAGCCAAAGACCAAATAGATGTTTCTTACTATAAATCACAGTATCACAGAGGAGTGAAAAAGTCATATTGCAAAGGGATTTGTTCAGAGTAATAGGATAAATGAACCATTTACACAGTCTGTCATACTGGTTAATGCTAAGAAAATCTAGAGGTCTTGAATCAGAGACTTCTTTGAACCATCTACTTCTTGCAAGAAGGGCATGTTTCCAGCTTAATCCTCCCAGGTAGAGAAAGCAAAGGCCAGGACAGGGGAATTATGTTCCTTTTTTATAGTCTGCGTCTGCTCTTCTGATAAGATTAGTTTCTCACATTTCTAGAGGTGAGAGCCAAACGGTGTCAGGGTACCAAGGGACTGGGGGTGGGTGTATATGGCTATAGTGTGGTGGGGTGGGGGATGTTAGAGGGATGAGAGAGAGGTTGTCTGAGAAGGGCTTGGGAGGACATTAGGAAAAGTGGTCCCAGCAGAAAACTGTTCTTTTGGGGTCATTCTCAAGCTATGAGATCTGTCTTCTTGCCTTCTATATTTCTTCTAGAAATATAGAAGAGCTTTTTCTCCTGCCCCGCTCGACCCACCCCAATCAGGAAAGCCTCTTTTCTAAATTTTGGCATATTGAGAGCTGTGAACCCCCAAATCAGAAATCACAAACTGTTGACTTGTTAGTTTATGTGAGATATTTGAAGAATTATTTGCCAATATGTAAAACTTGGGAAACTATAGAAAATTCCCAACTTCTGGCTTCTCTTAAAAAACTGGTGAAAGGTAGAAGGTGAAAGATCACCTTCCACCATTTCCCATTTTATTCCAGGTGCTTTTCATTGCTTTAAGTTTTGGGCTAGGCTCCTAGAGATGTTTGGGTTTGCAAGTCTGGCCTAAAAGAATTCCTTGCTTATGAACTGAGCAGTAGAACACACAATGTAGTTATAGTGAATATAGTGACTATAGTTAAAAGTTTTAGAAGCAAACAGACAATTGTATCTTTCCCATGGTGTCTGAAGCATGAATGACATGCATGCTTGGTACAGAAGGATGCTTATATCACTGATCATTGTCTTTTACACACTTACCATAGATTCAAAGAATGTTAGCTTTGTAAGAACTCAATGCAATCTGGTGATCTTTCAAACCCCCTCCCTCCCCCCTTTTTTTTTTCTAAGAAGTCTTTTTTTTTTTCCCAAACAAGTTTTTGAATAAGAGGCTATAGTAGCTAAAGCAGGGTTTGGAGGTGTGAACACCCCTTGTGCAATTCTCCCCTCACCATTTTTACACAGAACTCATTGCAAACTGCTAGTCTCTCCCAGCCCCCATTCCCAGACAAGTCTAAGGCGACCTGCTCAAGGCTGCTCCGTTCTTTCCTAGCAGAACCAGGGCCAGACCCCCCCATACCTTCCTCTTAGGCTGTCATACCAATCACCCCATACTCCTTCTTCACCCGGGTGTCTGGTCTATTGCAGGGTGATCTCTTCAGTTGTATTGAGTGCAACAGCTCTTGGAAGAGCCTCCTCTTACACCCCTAGTTATGCCAAAGCCAAGATATCAGCTGCACGCTTTTTTCAACTGCTGGACCGACACCCCCCAATCAAGGTGTACAGTAGTGCAGGTGAAAAGTGGGTAAGTACTGAGGGGGATAAAGAGGGGGTTGGGGGGGCACTGTGCTTATGGGTGTGTGTATGTGCAGAACAGCCTTTGGAGCTGGTCAGAAGATATCACTTAGTTTTTCAATTCCTGAAGTTTATGGGTTCATTCATATGCACTCAGAATGCACAGACAGTAGATTTATAAATGTAAAGGAATGAAGTAAATTAGCATTAAAATTATTCATAAAGCTGGCATTTGAATAAGGCAATGATATCCAGTGAATGCTAAACTCTGTGTAATAGAAAACACACTTAGTTCCAGAACGAATGAAGCTGGATATCTTTTGAGACCTACCCAACCACCATGTTTTCTACCAGTGTTCTGGTACGGGATGTAGAAAAACCAGCTCTTCCTGTCCAATAATATTGATTCAATTCATGTTTATCTAGGCTCAAGTTTTAGCTCATGTGGATCCCCAGAACACTAATTTGATCTCAACAAAATATCTTTTCTTCTGATAGTCCTCACAGACGTTTTTTAATATTCCCTGCCTATTTTTTTAATATTCCAGTGTTTTCAAGAGAGCAAAACAAAACTAAACCCTAGTAAAGCTGAACAAAATTCAGAAATCTTTGTAAATTGGTCAAGTGACCTGTTCCTCCTGTTGTTATTAAGTTCTATCCCTTTCTGGAATTCATAATTCAGATAGTCCAACTGAAGGTATCCACCTTCGCAATACAGGGTGCAAGTAACTTTCTGAGTCATTTGAAGCATAATGTTATTATTAGAAATCTTTAGGGGGAGCATAACTCTAGGGGTTTGGACAGTTCTTGGCTTCTGTGATGGAATCATATCTTCTACTTGTTCTTTTCCACTCGGAATGTCAAGGAAAGGATGACGAGGACATCCCTTTAGGTTAGAATGGGAATGAGAGGTCACATATCTTTCATTTCACTGCTCAAACCTCCCTTTATTCTCTACCTGCCAGAATAGGGAACAGAATGGCATTTCATCAAGTGGCTGTCTTTAGACTTTGCACTATGGCTGCGTGCTGTTGAAGGTATCTTAAGCAAGGACTTAAAACTCAGATTTAGGTGCATTTTCAGTATTCTGGATTCTAGTAGGAACCTATGTAAGTCCCATCTTCCCATCCACAGGACAACTTCCAGGGCCAGATTGACTTTGTTGACTGTAAATTTACATATCCTTCTCGACCTGATATACAAGTTCTGAACGGTCTCTCAGTATCGGTTCGTCCAGGTCAAACGCTGGCCTTTGTTGGAAGCAGTGGATGTGGCAAAAGCACGAGTATTCAGCTGTTGGAGCGTTTCTATGATCCTGACCAAGGGGAGGTGGTAAGTAACGCAAATGCCTTAGAGAATTGTGCTTTCTGCAGAATATCTCCAACCCCTTCGAAGTGGTTTCAAGATTCCGCCTTGCCAGATTCACTCTAAAGTGCTTGCCTCGGACACTTACCCCTGTGGATACTTTCCGGTTCCCGTCATTTGCTGGTTGACCTGATTCTACCTCACACTTTCTAACATCATATTCTTCCCAGTTCCAGATGGCCTGCTGACCAGTTAGACAAAGCAAACTGGGTACACGGCAAAGCTGGAGATGAGTGTGTTTAACAGAAGTGTTCACTTACCTGTAAATGGAGCAGAAAGTGCAAACTAATCAGGAAACTAGTGAGCGCGAAGGGAAAAACTGACGGGGTGATAAGTAATGCAATGATAAATAAGTGGGGGGGGGGGGTTGAGTACGAAAAACCTGACACAATCCTGGTTCGAGAAGCTTATGTCTACATGACATAAAGAACTCAAATTGGTAGTTATGTGCCAACAAAGCTTTGGCAAGGAGATTTGAAAAATTGGTGAACTGCTTTGTTGCTCATTTTCCAGAGCATTTCTTTCTCTTTTCTGCCTTTTTTCTTGTCTTTCTTTCCAAATAATATATGCAGAAGAATACAAAATAAAATAGGAAAGATTTGTAATAAAAAGCAACCTCTTAGTTTACCCTTTCCACTGCTCCCCATTTCTCTGTTCAAAGACAGCTATTTTTAACTACACGATGTTTTTAGATCTTTCAATGATTATCTCAACATCTCTACAGAATATGATTACGCAGCTGTTTCACGATTTAACAGATTCAGACTCTCTGTTGACTTACTCTCAAGAGAGGGAAATTTAGCTTACCCTTCCCACTCCCCCTGTTTTTACACACCTCCTCCCAATATAGATATATCACTTTAAACAGTTTCTCTGCTTGTAAATTTAATTAATATAATTCTGCTTCTTTTCCACCACCTTCAGATAGTATCTCTTGAATTCTCATCTTTTTGACATGATAGTAGCAATCCTATGTTTATTTTCACCTCTTCCTCCCTCCTTTTATTTCTCCAGTCCTAATAACTGTACTTTTATATTATCAAAATGCAAAACACTAACATTCTGTTTAAAGCATTTATTATCTTTCATGCTTTCACTCTAGGCTGACTCTAAAAGTTAAAAATCAACTAACGACTTTTGTTATGATTATGTAAATACTGTTCATCCCATAGTCAAGTGGTGAGGTACATCAGCATTACATTTTCTTTCCTGATCGTTTTCTTAAAGGCTTTCTTTTTTCTTGCACCCTCTGCCTTTATAAAATGTTTATATTCTTCCAATGTCTCTATCCTGCTACCTTTTCTGAGGGACCAGCTTTTTTCTCTCATGCCTGTCACTGCCTGGACTCATTAACAACCTGTGGCTGCCGAACACTTGTCACCCTGTGAGTTTCCTGCCTGTTTTCTTGGGATTAGATCCGTCATTTCCTAATTCCCATATCTTCCTCTTTCTTGGGTTTCACTTTCATTTTGTTGGAGTGCATCCACCAGTAGTTTTCCAAGAAATGATTCAGAGGCATAGGTCTGAACATGTTTTATTCTGCTCCACACTTGATTGAGTGCTGAATTCTAATATTTTGGGAGAAAAAAGGCCTTTTTGAGTTCCCTGGGTAGTATGATCTTCATTGCAATGAGGACAGGTCACATTATGAGGAGAAATGCTGAGAGAAACTCGAAGGAGGCAACTAAAGACTCCCCTGAATAAAGTAAAACAAAGAAACAAGTGAACAGATATTGGTAGAATCCAGGAAATTATGCAAATAAGGAGTAAGAGTTGATCATATATAATTTATAATCACTTTTTAAATTAATTTTAGGTATAAAGATTTTAATTTGTTTAAAAGTACATAGTGATTGGGGCGCCTGGGTGGCTCAGTCGTTAAGCGTCTGCCTTCGGCTCAGGTCATGATCCCGGGGTCCTGGGATCGAGGCCCGCATCGGGCTCCCTGCTCGGCAGGAAGCCTGCTTCTCCCTCTCCCGCTCCTCCTGCTTGTGTTCCCTCTCTCACTGTCTCTCTCTCTCTCTGTCAAATAAATAAATAAAATCTTAAAAAAAAAAAAAGTACATAGTGATTGAGGAACCTAGAAAGGTCATTGCACTGGGGTCTGATCTCTGCAAAGGAGAGGGTCCAGTTTCCCAAAATGTCAGATCATCCCGTCTATCACCCTAGGTAGACTGTGAGCTATGAGACATACAGGGACCCAAATCCTTCACGTTTGACCTTTCCGACATTAACATATACATTAAGTATATTTCTCTCAATGTGCTCAGTGCCTGTTCTGGTCATAGGTAGGAAGCAATGCCCATGAATCAATCAGCATGATTCCTTGCATCTCATAAATACAATATATTTTATTGTATCATTGTAAAACATTTCTGCGAACTCTTTTTAAGTGGAAAGATACCATCTTTTATGCAATTTTTAAAAAAATTGTCTTTGCTTTTAAGGAAGCTACCAAATGCAACTTTCAATGTTTTCAACATTTAATTCCTGTGATATGCAGTACCGTTTTAGGCCCTGTGGGAGATTCTAAGGAACGTGAAGCATGTCTTCTGTCTTTTAGGAGCTTACGATACTACCTCATGTACAGTAATTAGCAAACAGCTCCAGTATTTACTTAGGTATCAAATTGTGCTTTGCAATTTATAAGTACTATGGAAAATAAGTAGAGGAAGATGAGCCAGGGCTAATTGCTGAGGAATGCCCTACATTTTTTCCCACTCTTGTTTGCTTTTTCCATTGTTGAGTATTTATCTAAAATATCTTATGTTCACAGCATTTAACATAACCTTTTTCTGAAATCAGAAGGCCAAACACTTTATAGTAGTATATTAGACATACCGTCTCTTTACTATCTTAAGGCTTTTAAGTGAAACAGCTCAAATGGTAGATATTGGAGTTCCTGTACTCAAGTGTCTGGCCCACGGATAACAAGAACACAGAAATTATTTTTTCATTATTAGCAGCCATAGCACGGTGCCCTTGTGCCAGGAAATTCAATATATGTTTGTTGACTGACTAAGTGAATAAATATACTTGTTTCTTACTTGGGTCTATTATCTCATGTTAGTGTCAGTGAAATCAAGGAAACAGCTTTAATTCTTATATTGTCCAATAGTTTTACATAGAAGAGCCTGTTCTTTTTTTTTAAGATTTTTTAATTTATTTATTTGACAGAGAGATAGAGAGAGAGCACAAGCTGGGGGAGCGGCAGAGGGAGAGGGAGAAGCAGGTTCCCCGCTGAGCAGGGAGCTCGATGTGGGGCTGGATCCCAGGACCTTGGGATCATGACCTGAGCCGAAGGCAAACGCTTAACCGACTGAGCCATCCAGGCGCCCCAGAAGAGCCTGTTTCATAACCTGTGGAGTCTCAAAATTGAGTAATTCTTCATACTTGTAGAGCATGTGCTGCACCAAAGTATAAGGGGAAATTTTTTTTTAACAAAATACTGTCCTGAGTGCCTTTCTCCTTTGTATTGCCTGTAAAGCTAGAGTTTGGGAAACAACAAAAACCATAGTCTGATCATAACTTTGACACCACTCCTGACACACGCTACCTCCAGAGGTCAAAGGCAACATAACTTCTTTATAAGATTCCTGGGATTTTTATCTCATAAGCAAAACAAATGTCTTGTATAATCCTACCTCTAGAATATGAACTTTCTTCGCTGCTGGCATTCTAAAACTTAATGCTCTGCTGGTCCCCTCTATTGGCAGATGATAGATGGGCATGACAGCAAAAAAGTCAATGTCCAGTTTCTCCGCTCGAACATTGGGATTGTTTCCCAGGAGCCAGTGTTGTTTGCCTGTAGCATCATGGACAATATCAAGTATGGAGACAACACCAAAGAAATCCCCAAGGAAGAAGTCATAGAAGCCGCAAAGCAGGCACAGCTGCATGACTTCATCATGTCCCTCCCAGAGGTGAGGACTAGGTCGAAGTCTTTCCCTATGGGAGACAGGGATGTGTAGAGGTAGAATGGCCAGAAAGTGTTATGACTGTGGCTCAAGGAGAGGGTCAAAGGCAACACGGGTCATTTCCTGGTGCTCTGGGATTGCCTCTGTCTTTTAAGCAAAATAAATATCCGTCATCAACATACTCTTTAGTGTTGGAAAGTGTTATATTATCCAGTGCAAAAGACGCCATGAAACTTATTGCACATAAAGCACGACTACACTGAGCATCGGTGTAGCAAGATGGGAAACAATCCTGAGATTTGGAGCAGGTATGGCTTTGAACCCAAACTCTGCCACTTACTAACTATAACAGTTGCTTATCTTTTCTGAGACTCGGTCATCAGCAAAATGCACAAAATAACATTAAAATGAGAGAGTACACATAATAGCCATCCAAAGAAAACTGTGGCCATTATTATGGTCATCATCATGATTGCATTACTTGGCAGCATATACTGTGCGTGGTGGGGTGAGTTGCATCTGCCTTCGTGCTTCTCACTTTTCCAGAGCCAAATTTAAACTTAGTACAATATTGACTCTGCATTTTTCCATCCACCAAGAGCCTCTTGGGGGTCGATCACAAAGAAAATTAACACAAGGAAATGAAATTTTAGGAACCAAACTTTTCACCTTTACCCCTTCTTTTAAATCCCACTGGGAAATTACTTTTCTTTGTAAGTGATTATGTTTATAAATTTTGTGCTGTTTGTGGTGGGCTTTTTCCTTTGTTCTTTCTCACAAAGGCTCCTAAGTCTTAGCCTGGTTCTAGCCTGGGTAGTGAAATCCACAAGCATGTAGAAATTACTGAACGAAAAGCAAAGCTTGTGTGTCCCTGAGAGATTCATTTATTCCATGAATCTTTGCTGAGCACGTCCTCATTTTGTGGGAGACAGTGGCTGGGAGGCAGTTTATGGCCTCTTTCTTCTAGGGACTTACCCATCGTACCCCTCACTGAGCACTGTTTTTCCATGAGGACAGAGCAGGCTGTCAGGAGTCTCCCCTGGCTGGTTAGCATTGTCAGGAGGCAGGGGAAACGGGGAGGAAACACACTTGTTGTGGAAGGCAGGGGAGAGTAGTGGTCAAGGGCAAAGTCTCAGAAACAAGACGCACCTGGATTTAGAGTTCACCTTCACTGCTTTGTACTTGTTCGTCTTTGCACAATATTCTTACCTGTCTGTGCCTAAGTTTTGTAACCTGTAGAGAAAAAATTATTTCTGTGAATGTTAAATGATCATCTGCCTGGAATAGTTAATGCAATACCCAAAGCATGGTAAATATTCTGTGAATGTTAACTATTTTTTTATGTAGTCATGCCAGGCATCTAGTTAGGGATTTTCCTTCATAACTTCACCTAAAACAACAAATATATGAACTAGTTATTAATATCTGCATTTTTCAGACAAGTTGGCGCTCAAAGAAATTTAAATAATTTTTCATGCTAATAAGCAACAGAGTGGAGATTCGCACATAGGTTTGTGATCCAGAATGATGACTTCTCATAAGAGGATGGACCAGAAGATCTCTCAAAGGGCCCTTACATTGGTAGGATCATTCCACCTTGGAAAGATCTTCCAGACAAGAGTTTGGAAATCAGGGAATCTTAAATCAGAGAGATCTCATAGACAGGGAAAAAGAAAAAAAAAAATACAAACTTAAAATAAATGCAGAGAAGGGGACATAAAATCCCCTATTTTCCCAACACACCCCATATTTTTCTTATATCCCTAAGTGGATTTGACATCCTTTAGAGAAGGACTCATTTATTATTCCCAATTTTAAAAAACAAAAAAATTGTTTAAATCCACAGAGAGGTCCTTGATGTGGGCTCCATACAGCATAGGAGAAATGACTGTTTCTGTGTCTCAAACTTACCATACTTTTTCCAGAAATATGAAACTAATGTTGGGGCCCAAGGGTCTCAACTATCTCGAGGAGAGAAACAACGTATTGCTATTGCTCGGGCCATTGTACGAGATCCTAAAATCTTGCTACTAGATGAAGCTACTTCTGCCTTAGACACAGAAAGTGAAAAGGTATGTATTGATTTTCTAAAGTCCCTTAGATCATTATAAATGAGTCTTTTGCTGTAATATATGCCCTTATAAAATGGCACTATTTTCAATTTTCTGATTCATTGACAGTATAAATGGCCCTACTTGGTGGAACAAAAAGACAATAATCTAGAGGAAGTGAGGCAAAATGGGATTGTTTCAAATAAAAAAATGTATTTTAACTTTAAAATAAGAATTGTTTTTAAGACTGTCTAAGCTAGGTGACACTTTTTCAAGGGTAAGTAATTAGCTTTCTTAAGTGAAATAAAGTAATCTAGGTCATCTGTTAGGCATTTCATATTTTATAATTTCAAAGTTACACAGCAGAGCAGGTAGACAGCATACAACACAACGTAAGAGGTGGTGTCTAATGTGCAGCTTGCATGAAAGCAAATGCAATTGGGCAAAACAAAATTATGAAATTTACCATTTACAATTAACTCCTTAAAAATCAGGATTCCTTTTGGAGAAAACTGAAATGTCCTCAGCGAAGAACAGTATCAGTAATGACCACTTAACTGCTACCTTACACGGTTTCCTTGGTTGCATTTTTGCCAACTAGACCATCAAGTATTGTAAAATTACATAGTGACCTCCAGTTTGCTTCATTCTTGCTTCACTGAAATTTCTCAGCTTGTAGAACACAACTGAAATCACTGATGCATTGCAGTCAGCAAATACGTGTGTCATCCTTGCCCTCTTGTCAAGCCTTTGGGTTTAACCCCTGAGTATCACAATGTTACTCAAGTAGCATTCAGCAGAATTCTTGCAATATAGGGCCAAGGAACAAACGTGTGTCTTTGCATCAGCTTTCCACCTTCTCTTTGCAGATGGTGCAGGCCGCCCTGGACAAAGCCAGAGAAGGTCGGACCTGCATTGTCATCGCTCATCGTTTGTCTACCATCCAAAACTCAGATATCATTGCTGTCATGTCACAGGGGAAAGTGATTGAAAAGGGGACCCATGAAGAACTGATGGGCCAGAAAGGAGCCTACTACAAACTCGTCACCACAGGAGCCCCCATCAGTTGAGCTGACTCAAGAACGTCGTGTACAGATGAGGCACCAATTACAGGAGGGCCGTGGGTTTTTTTTTTTTTTCCTTTAAGGAGAAATGATAATATTTTACTTTTACAGACATTGTCATACACTCAGATCCAAGCTAATTTCTAATGACCTTCAATAATATCTTAGTTTTAAAAATCTGTATATAGAAAATGAAAGAAACTAGGGTTAGTGTGAGTGAGAATCCAATGTCAAGCAGGTGCTCAGCCATTACCCAGTGGCTTTCTCCATGCAGAAGCCAGCCCCAGTTACTACATGGGAATCAACAAGAAGTCACAGAGTAAATGAGACTTTGAATTCCTCAAGGCAGAGGACTATCCTTCGAATTTTTGAAACTTCAGTGTACACAGAGCCTAGTGCACTTACAATAGGCACTCAACGCCTGTTTATCAAGCTGGACCAAGGTCATATGTGAAGAGAACAGGAGGACTGACAACCAACTATTTCTTGACTAAAAGTTTTCTTGCAAGTGAAAGCAGATTCATTCATCTGTAAGGATGAGGACAGGGGAGGGAGGGCTTTGAGGCCGGGAAAGGCAGGAAGGGGCAAGGACCTGCAGGGACTTACCAGTCAGGGGTGTGGATTCACAGATGCAGGGTGTAGTAGGTGGGTGGTGGGGTCAACATTGACTGCACGACAATTGGCCAAGGTGGCTTTTTTTGTATAACACTGTATGAAGCTACAACAAGATAAAAAGGCACTGTCTTCATTTCAGGAATAGACTGGAGAGGCAAAGGACAGCACCCTGGGATAAAGGTTCCATCCCAGGCCTTTAATCCTTGTCACCACCCTCCACACTGGTTGCCTGTATGGGAACAGAAGTACACGCCTCTCCTGCAGTAGGATGGCTGCCCTTCTCTAATTCTAGCAAAAGAATTGGGGAAGCTCACTGAGAAACATGCACTTAGAGACCCAAGTCACATTTGAAGGGGTGGCTAAAGACAAGGGGATTGAATATAAAGCGATATATGAACAGAAAAAAAAAAAATTCCAGCTCCCTCCTCCCCTGGCAGGAGATTTTAGGAGTAGCCTCTGGGGAAACTGGAGAATCCAGTTAAAAGGAAAGAGACTATCTTTTAATGAGGTATAATGAGGTATAAAAGAGACTACAGAAGAGAGACTACCAGGGGCAGAGATCCTCCAAAGAAACTCCCCAACCAGATTACTCTACCTTGAAGCCCACCTGCCAAAAACCCATACCCATTGGCTTTTCAGTGCCTCACTCTTCCATAGGAATAGATTGTCAAGAATCACCAGGCCCTGAGGAAATATTTTAACACAAAAAACAAAATGACAACAATAGACTGCCCAGAACAAGGACATTAGAGGTAACAGAGCCAATGCAAAGATTTGGAAAACAAAGAATGCCAATAAATTCACATAATGAGATGAGAAAATAGTCCCATCTATTTAAATAAAAACAAGAGTTCATAAAAATGAACATGCAAATAAAATACAAAAAAGAGCTCTTGACAACTGAGGTGAAAAATTCAGTAGCAGTTCCTATCAAGTCGTCCTGCCCTCAAGATGTCTTCCTGCTCTATCTCTTTCCCAAATGCACTCGATGTATATATATATATATATTTTCTTCCCATGGCCAACAAGTGAAATTCTGCCTACAAATTAAGCTTGAGCTGTTGTATAATGAGATATATTATTTATGTGTCTGTCCAGTGTTCCCTGGTAAATAACCATAAAGGTGGTTTAGCAAGGTCACTAGTCAGGTCAGAAGAAATGATAGTTGCCAAGTCAGGGGGCGGAGAGGGTAGAGGACAGCACTTTAGTTAAGTCAAGAAAAATGGCAGGGACAAGTACATTGCAGAATAAAGATGCCTGCAAGAAGGAATTAAATTTTGCAGTATGCATGGGCTCGTCCTGTAATATTGAAGAAAGGAGACCAAAATCCATTTGTGTAAGTGCGCATTTCAAAGAAGAACATAAGCTTCGTGCTGGGAGGCTGTCAGTTTCCTGGCGTGCAATGTGTGAGGTGTGAAAAATGAATGAATGAGAGTCATTTTTCAAATAAGGTACTTGAAAGTTATTGATGAGTGGGATAAGGTTGACAACAGAGGGTTTGAAATAATGTGGGAAAACATTTGTTTTTTGAGGCTCAGTGACAAGGTAAAGGATTATAACCTTAAAAATAGAGAATAAATAAAGTTGCAAATTTATTTTACAACACCAGGGAGCGCCAATAATTCCATATCTATCCCACATCCAATGTTGCTAGCCAAAGATTTGGTCTCTGCAATTTTACATTATTAATGTTTCTCAGATAAAGGGGGTACTTGCTTTCTCTGTTCTATCTGACACTTATCTCAAGTCTTTCTATGATTTCTAATGTTTTCAGGATGGGTTCATGCTATAACCCCAAATAATAAAAGTTTACAGGAGAAAAAATAATTGAAGAATTGGAAGACAAAGTTGGGGAAATTTCCCTGAAGGTAAGACAAAAATATAGAGCCAAAAAGTAGAAAAAAAGAAAAAGAAAAATTTTAGAGGAAAAACCCAGGAGGTATAATAATTAGCTAATTGCAGTTCCAGAAAGAAAGATTAGAGGGGAGTAAATTATTAAATGGTCCGAAGATATTTCCTGTAACTGGAGAATATAAACTTTCAACTTGAATGGGTTCAACAAATGTCGAATATAATAAATAAGTAAAGATCCTCTGTGGGCACACTATTAGGCAATCTTAGAAAACTGGGAAAAGAAGATACTCAAATTTTCCAGGAGAGGGTGGAACATGTTACATATAATAAAGAATCATAATGACATAGAATCTCTTGACAATAACACTAATAAAAGTCAGAAGATGTAAAGATTTGCCTTCAAAATTCTGAGGGAAAATTATTTCCATTCTAGAATTCCATATCCTGAAAACTCTTCTCAGGGGTGAGAGAAACCTAAAGAAACTCTCAGTCATGTACGGTTTCAAAACTTTCCCTCCCCATACATCTTTTCTTAGGAAGCCACAGGAGGCTTTCCCTAAAATAAAAGTAAATGAAGAAAGAGGAAGATATGGGACCTAGGAAACAGGTGATCTAACTCAAGAATGAGGTGATGGGGGGGCGCCTGGGTGGCTCAGTTGGTTAAGCATTTGCCTTTGGCTCAGGTCATGATCTCAGGGTCCTGGGATCGAGTCTCCCTGCTGATCGGGAAGTCTGCTTCTCCCTCTCTCTCTGCCTCTGCCTCTCCCTCACTCTGTCTCTCTTGAATAAATAAATAAATAAATGAGGTGATGGGAATATCCGGGATGATTAGGAAGGCAAATCCCAGGAACCCGGTTTGCTGGCGACTCAGTGAGCAGCCAAGCCTGACTGAAACAAGGAAATGAGGTTCCACAAGGGTTGTGTCTAGGGAAAAATGTGATGCTGCTAGACTATGGTGACATTCCCCCTGGCAGAGTTTGCCGATGTGTTAGCAATGCAGACAGACATAGAGAGAGAGAGAGAGAGAGAGAAAGAGAGAGAAGATTATTAGCTATTAACTCTGGAGTAAAAGAAAACTTATACATGAAAGGAAATATATTTATATTATACTACATGACCCACCCAAGAATGTTATTTACAAAGCCATATCAATGTAAATGCTGAATGCTGATCTAAACCCAAATTAGAGACAGGTTATGGAAAGGGAGAAAAAAGGTATGGGGAAGCTTGTATAGCTTCTACTATGAGGATATGTGTGTATTCCTCATAGTCCTTGGGTATGGGTGTATTCCTCATATTCCCTGGTAGAAATTAAACACTTAAAAATTTAAACAAATTTAAACAAATGTCAATTTGTTTAAATTAAATTTAACAAATTTAATTAAATTTAACAATTAAATTTAACAACTAAATTTAAAAAATTTAAACAAACGTCAATAAAACATATTGCTTTAAGAGACAAAGGTAAATATAATCTTTTATGTCAATTATATCTCAATAAAGTTAGAAAAATAAGTTTTTTAAAAAGATGAAAGTAAATACCAAAAGAAGCAGCTGAAAGATTTGTGTACATGCATATCTTTAATTTAAAATTAAAGTTAAAAAGTTAAAACAAAAGGAGAAAAAATATAGCACAGAGGCACAATATTTAAAACAGTAGATACTGAAACAGGATTTGAAAGACACATCACAGGAAAAGGAGAGTCCAGAAATAGATTCACCAGGAATCCCAGTTCTCATAGTGTATGCTAAATTTCTAATCACAAAAGTGAGCATGGTCGTCTCTTCTTGCATTACTCAGAAAAACTTGGAAATAATCTAAAACCTCAAAAAAGGAGGATGGGGCAAAGATAAAATTAGTTGAGACACACACACATATATATATAGTGATGTTTACCATGAAGCCAACAAAATGATGATATTGACCTATGTTTATTGTTTTTGTGGAATGATGTCCATTATATGTTGTGTAGAAGTGAGTTTCGGATCATTATGGGTGGTATGATGCCATCTGTCCCTCTGTCTCTCTCCCTCTATCCACACACACACACACACACACACCTCACATATCTGTTATGTGTGTATATGTGTCTGTGTTTATGAGCTTATATGGACCTGTATGCATAAAGAGATATCTGGAAAGATTTCTACCAAAATTTTGGTAGACTTTATTTCCAGCCATTCATCCACTACATGGACAAAGCTCCCTGCACATACTAAATGTCTGTGGTCCTTGAGGACTGGGACTGTGTCTAGTTCCTAATATCCCCAGTAATTTACTCAGTACTTGGTATAAAGCGATAGCTCAATACATCGTGGCTGAATAGTCATTTTAAATTTTTACAAGTAGTCAATAATTTGTCAGCCCCAAGATAACTAATCCATTAAGTTAGACCAGTGTCTTCCAATAAAAATATGAGTCACTAATGCAAAGTACATCAGTAATTTTAAATTTTCTAGTCACAGCAAGGAAAAAAGAAACAGGTGAAATTAATGTTAATATATTTCATTTAACCCAGTATGTACAAAACATTATTAATATACGTAATCAGTATAAAAATTATTAATAAGATAGTTTCCTTCATCATGTTAAATATTCAAAATCAGATGTGTGTTTATACTTACAGCACAGCCCAGCACTGACTAGCCACTTGTCACGTTCCTGCTAGCTACATGTGACTAGAAGCTACTATATTGGAAAGACAGGGTTAGAATATCCAGTTTCCTGAATTTCCTGGTCTAGGCCTCCATTGATCCTACATGATTTGACTCTTACAAAAACATGAGCCCAGCTTCTCCCTTGGAACATGTTCTTATACCATACCTGGAAACTTGGTAAAACTTGTTTCGGTTAAAGATCATGACTCATTTGGACTAACTAGCATTATGATAGGACCTAGCAAAATCAAACATTCTGATGTCAGAAGTTATAAACAGAATCATATTGGCCCTTATCAGAGTGATTAACATTCTTTACATCATTTATTTTACTTGATTTACCTGTTTGAGTTAGAGAAAACTAAGATTGTTTAATGTAAT